TTTGGGGGGAGGGTATAAAAATCCCTCATCCTTTACTTCTGCAAAACAAAGAAATTTTCTCTAAAAACCTGTGGCATAAATATTTGGAACACTTTAAAATAATTGAAATGGTAGATCAAGTATCAGAACTACTGCCTGAATAGTATCTCTCCTGAGTCTAGACAGCAGTTGTTCTTTTTTATGTATTTAATTCTAGGTTTTAATATATAATTAATATTCATTAAATGGGTAATGTTTCAGTATTTGCTCATAGTGGACATGCTGAGACCACTTTATTTTACATTACAAATGACCTTGCCTTTATAAACATGTCTTCTTTATGCTGTGATAATTATATGAATTGGGTTTGTAACTGTCAGCATATCAGTTACGGGAGTAAGATACGTCTGAGAAGCAGATCACCTTGATTTTATTAATGTCCTCTTTGTGTCTCACTTTAAGCCTTTCATTTGACATCGAGCATGTCACTTCTCTCATGAATATCGGTTCCTTTTTCAATCCAGAATCTGATAATAAAATGTATTATGTGATAAAGACATAATTTTTGTAACCATTAAAAATATTTTTGCAGACCAAAGTGAAATAGAGCAGTTGTTTGCTAAATGCAGTCATCATCGCTATCGAGTGTACTCAATTGTGATTATTGATAAATTCCTATTTATCAGTGGCATTTGATATGGACTCACTATGTTTTCGGCTTACATGGGGAAGAAAAGAATCATAGTTGTGAACATACCAATTAATGGATTACATAATGACTTAGTGTTTGCTAATGAGTTACAAACAACTGCCATGATTTTTTACTGTCATGCAAGCACGTCATAATTTCTAATTCCCAATTTTAATGGACAGTTTTTTTAGCAAAACAAAACATTGCATTTCTTCATTTATAGTTTCATTTAACTGCCATTTATTGAGTTCCATAAGATTAAAAGTTGAAAAGATATGATTTCTACCCTAAAGGAGCTCATGTATACAGCTGCTGTACATAGAAAAATAACATAGGCTTTTCTGGGACTCAGAATTTCTAAAGATGTTGTTTCCGTGCCTTTAGACAACTAATGTGATACAGAGGACTTGCTATGTTCTCTGCTTACATGGGGAAGAAAAGAAACTTAGATGTGAACATATCAATTAATGGATTAATGGCTTAGTGTTTGCTAATGAGTTACAAACAACGGGCAATATTGAACTGCAGATGACATCTGAAACTCTAGTAAATGACATCTTCCCTAACCTGGCCCTTGCCCTTCCAATCTCCACCTCACTGTGGTCTCCTGAAGGAAGATACTTTTGCAGGGAAGGAATCTCCAGAGTTAGCATGTGTACAGGAGATGTTTATTCTTCTTTACAAGACAGGAGAAGATATCTACATGATTAACATGGTTACATCTTTCTATATTTTACTGCAATTGCAGAAAACTGACTAGATGTTGGAGTTCTAAGTTTCTGTGTCTAGGCATTTTAATCGGCTTTCCCCAAGTCTGTCAACACAATATCAGCTACTGACTCGAGAGGTAGAGAAATAAAATACAGGCGGGCATGGTGGCTCATGCCTGTAACCTCAGCACTTTGGGAGGCTGAGGTGGGCAGATCACCTGAGGTCAAGAGTTTGAGACCAGCCTGGCCAACATGGTAAAACCCCGTCTCTACTAAACATACAAAAATTAGCCAGGTGTGATGCCAGGCACCTGTAATCCCAGCTACTTGGGAAGCTGAGGCAGGAGAATCACTTGAACCTGCAAGGTGAGAATTGCAGTGAGCCATGATTGTGCCATTGCACTCCAGGCTGGGTAACAGAATGAGACTCAGTTTCAAAAAAGAAAAAGAAAATACAGCTGAGTGTAAACTACTTTCCAATTCCTCTTTTAAAAGAGGTCCCCAGTCCCTGGGCCGTGGACCTGTACCTGTATGTGGCCTGTTAGGAACTAGGCTGCACAGCAGGAGGTGTGCAGTGGGCAAGACAGCATGACTGCCTGAGTTCCGCCTCCTGTCCGATCAGCAGCGGCTTTAAATTCTCATAGGAGTGTGAACCCTATTGTGAACTGTGCAAGACAGAGATCTGGTTGTGCACTCCTTATGAGAATTTAATGCCCACCCCCCATGTTCTCCTGGAAAAATTGTCTTCCACTAAACCCATTCCTGTTGCCAAAAAGGTTGGGGACCATCGTTTTAAAATATTAAATTCAGACAACAACTCAGATGCAGTACATATACATTTGGAAAAGCTTCATTATAATAAGGTTTTCTAAAGAGTTTGGTTAGGTTGAAAGTCCAGTTCTGCTCCTGGAGCACATGAAAAAGTCAAACATCACTGATAGCCTGAAATCTCAAAAGTCTGCATTATTTATACTCAACCCCACTACCCCTAACCATTCTTTGCTTCTTTCATCAAACTAGTGTTTATTGAGTACATATCATGAGCCAAGCAGTGTTGTAGGTCCAGTAGATACAGCATGGACAAAGGCACACTGGTTTTTGCTGTCATGGGTCTTTAAATTATATCACTCAGCTATATTCAGTTATGCTCAGTTGAATATTCAATTATACTAAAGTCAGTATTTATGTACTGAATTTTCAATCACATAACCTGTACAATGGGTCATTTCTAGACTTGGTTTAATTATATACAGATACTAGGTTCAGTAGTTCATACTTTCTTATAAAACTGCCAATTATTTTAAAATATGTTCATCAAGAATAGAAAATTAATCATGTCCCCCAAATGAAAATAGACAAACCAAAAGAAAAGAAAAGAAAGAAGGAAACCATTTTGAGCTCCTTTAACCATTGTCAGAATGATAGTAATTCAGTATAAAAAGATGGTGATGTTCAAGCTCGCCTGCTTTGAATCCTTGCTCAATTATCACTCTACACTTACATGAGCACTGCTCTAACTCCCTATTTAAAATTGCAGTCCAAACCCCCCTCTCCATACTTCTCTCACCCTGATCTGTTTTCTTCTCTATAGCACTTATAACTTTCTATCCTGCTATATAATTGTATTTATTATATTTGTTGCAAGTTCTTCTCACTACTCCCAACCCTGGCCCTACCACTAGAATACACACTTCAGGAGGACAGTTATCACTGATCTGTTTACTAATGTATCTCTACCTCCAGAAATCATTCCTGGTGTATATTAGCTGCTTAATAAATTTTTGTTGCATTAACTAATTAAAGTTGTACAGAAACACCATCTTATCATATAAGGTGACATCCATAGTATCCAACCAAGTAGCAAAAGGCTGGTTAGTTAGTTAAAAAGGATTATGTGTGTTTGCTCTGCAGAAACCCTCATTGTGTCATTTTATATTTATTATTAAAAGAAGAGCTCACAATTCTTGAACCTGAAGAGACAAAATAGTAATGAGGATGGGAGTGGGAGTTGGCATTCCAACTCGCTAACTCTCATATGTTCAAAAAAAGTACCATGATTGAAGTCAATTGAATGAAGAGGAAGATTTTCTTTTTCTTTTATTTCTTGAGGAATAAAACTCTATTCATCTGCATGTAAGAGTAATATACATAAGCACTTGGCATCTTCTAAGCTGTGGTCCTCTAGCTTATGGAAGCTGGTGCCATAGTAGAGCGTAACAAGTTTTGCCCTCCCCCTTCCTCCTTCTCATTCTCCAGAGGACACCATGTGGGTGGAAATGCTGATGGGACAAAATCCTTCTCATTCAGCAATGCCAGGTCTTCAGATCAAATTTCAATTTGTTTCTGTTTTTGTGAAAAAGCACCTGAGTTTATAGAAGACTTCAAAGTTGTGTAAATAGGGAATGTGAGAAAAGGTAGAGCTCTCCCTTTTTTTTCCCCCGTTTCATTTTCTGTATATAACTTAGGCAAAGGCTTTCTGATTTAATCATTAGAAAACTAAGCTCTTTAGATACTTTTCAATAATTGAAGATAAAGCAAGTCTAAGTCTTATGGCATATCATTTATATCTCATACCATTTGGAATAGCTCTATTTTTATTATCTGTAAATACTTCGTTATTAATATGTTTCAGAATGGTGTTAATTAATGTAGCTATTGGCCAGGCACATTGACTCCCTCCTGTAATCCTAGCACTTTGTTTGGAGGAGGCAGGTGGATCACTTGAGGTCAGGAGTTCAAGGACAGCCTGGCCAACACAGTGAAACTCCATCTCTACTAAAAATGCAAAAATTAGCTGGGTGTGGTGGTGCACACCTGTAGTCCCAGCTACTCGGGAGGCTGAGACAGGAGAATCACTTGAAACCTCAGGGAGGCAGAGATTGCAGTGAGCCAAGATTGTGCCATTGCACTCCAGCCTGGATGACAGAGTGAGACTCCTCTAAAATAATAATAATGTAGATAATAAACTTATTTCTTAATTCCCATCATTCCATTTGTATTATTTTTGAATTTTCTGTTTATTCATGTCAAGATAAAAATAAAAGGATGTAGCAGTGATCTATTATCATACCACTGTACTCCAGCCTGGGCAACAGAGTGGGACCCTGCCTCTTGGAAAAAAAAACAAAAATGATACAACAAAATGTGGTCTTGATTTGTCTAGGCTGCCTCTCATAGCTCTAGTCTAGTCTCTCTCACACTTCAAACTTGTGCTCTACTCCTCTTTGCCTTTCTTGTTTATAAATTCGCCTCCTGTCTTTGATTTCTACACCTTTCTTAAAGAAAATACATGGCAATACATGCCTTTTTTTTTTGCCACACCCTTGATTTCTAAGGCTCACTTGTTCCTTTTTAAATCTCTCTCCTCATTTCATCCCTGTTCTTACCAGATCCAATTTTTTCTTCCTTGCTAGCTCTCTATCTTCCTATACTTCTCCCTCCATTTCTAAATGATTTACACACATTTGAAGCTCATTCCCAGAGTGTGGCCATCCATTTTGAGAGAGTCACCTGTCATCTCTTAGGCCATTCCTTAATATAGCTGCTGAAGTCCAGTCATCCACAGGCACCTCAGTCTCACACTTCTATCCTTAAGACATCTCCTTTTGCTGTGCTGCCCCCATCCCAAACTAGTCAGCCGAAAGCCAAACACGTAACCTTAATGCTTTTCCCCACAAGATACTCTCTCTCTTTGTGTATTTTGCTGTCATTCTTTCAATTTCTTAGGCAAGAACTCTTCCTTCAGTTAATGAAAATATTAAGTCATTTGGCAGTATTTATGAAGCACTTCATTCCTTTTTACAAAGTGATTTGCTGGGCCTTTGGCCGTATGAACATAAATAAAACACTTTACAATGTTTATCATCTATTTGGGCTATCAGATACAAGGAGTTAGAAGTCAGAATGCCTGTGAAGGCCAGTGGAAGAGGTCATGCATTACCACATTTCCAGGGCGTTGGAATCAGGGAGAGCTTCGAAGAGAAGCACGGCATTGGTGAAACCTGGAAAGATTCATAAGCTTTTCATAGCTAGAGAAACAGTTGGAAAGGGTCGATCAACCACCGCAACAACATAAATGGTTTTTGAAAAATGAGCAGAAAACTTTAGATTACTTTAGAAGAGTGATCCTCAACATTTTTCTTCATGTGCTCTCAAAAAGAATTCTGAAAATTTTTTACCTCCTTGTGTATTTTTAAGTTGATATTTAGAACTATTTTGTCAAAAATTGTTTAATTTTCTAGTGTATGAAAAATATT